ATAAATGCGAAACGACATACAAGCGTTCCTCCCAGCTGTTTTGCTTCAGTGACTGCAGATTCAAGCCCCATGTTAAGCCACACTCTCCCAACCATTAATAATACACAGTGTATGTCTGTACGGCTAAATATAGATAGAGAATCGCTTAGATGGAGATAACGTCGTCTGGACTGACTGCTTTAATGAAGCGAGTAGTTTCAGCAGCTTTGGTTCCAATTAACTTAAATGCAAAAGTATATGAATATCAGTAGATATACATTTGGTTTAAAACAAATATATTTAACTTGGAGTTTTCCATGGAGTGAAAAACACTAACAATTTGAATCAACGACGATTTTGATGATTTTAAACGCGACACCTTAGGCTAATTAGCTGCTAGCTAACGTTTCCGTGCCCTTCTGCTTCAGTCACCTTGCTTACAGCTTTTAAGCACGTGTCAAGTAGACAACAACCACTTTTCAGCATCATGTTAGGCAACAGGTCTGTCAGCACTGCTGTAAACTGCTTAAATATGTCCTCTTAACGCCAATAAAACGAAACGGAACGTTTTCATTCAATAGTTATCAGGCTAGCCAACGACTGCCATGCGAGCCCAGTACAGCAGTAGTTAGCAACTGAGATAACATCAGGCTTTGCGCACATACTGGTATGCTTACCTTATTCTTGCGAAACTGGTCCATAACATAGTTGTAAGCTAGTGACTTTTTGTAACTCGGTCCCTGAATTGCACGCAGTTCTTTCAGGATTCCACGACACACTCGCAGCGGCGATGACAGCGCTGCCATCTTTGACCTGTGTTGTGATTGTAGCGGAGTGGAGCCAGGCATGCTAAATCACACACCGCACAGTCGATCTGTTACATATCGACCACAAGGCGGCGATATAGTTACACCTAAGTCCTCCTAAGTTGACTGCGTGGTCGTTTCCTCCTTGCCACTGGTTGTTACCCTGCAACAGCTTAAGGTAACTTGGACTGAATTTAAAACACGCACGTTGGTAATGTCGCCTTGCTATGAGAAAATACATATGTAGGTATGGAGAGACGAGCTTATGTCCGGCACTGCTCGGTGTTTTCTTTATGAACCTTGGAGGATAAACACAACTTTAGCTCTTTATTGTCACACTGTGTACAATAGTATAACGAAATTGTCCCACATCGGTGCTTTAAGAAAAAGCAAGCATTAATCATAATAAATAACAGAAATGAGATATACAGCATATGCACAGATAACAAAAGAGACCAGGTCAGGTATCTGCATATAGGGCTATTGCTCTGTTGTATATAGTGAAAACATAGAGTTCACTGTGTTTTATTGTATTTCCACAGATACCTGAAACTCTGTAAATGGTCATCACAGATCTGATCTTGACATGTCCATCTCAGTCTGGCCTATTGACAGAAAAACCTCTGCCACATTTTGAACCTGTTTCACATGCATTCCACCTCCAGCTTCATTGGAAGGTAATTATTCACCTATAATTTGGTAATATGGACCAGAAGGCTTTTGATGTTTTTGTCCACCATCGGTTTATAACGGTGCTTCATCACGCAGGAATCCTTTCAGAGAAAAGCAAATTTGATCTGTAAGACTGAGCACTGAACTGTTCTGTAAGTGGATTACAGTAATGCCGTGCCGTTGGGAGGCACGCTGCAAAACTGAGGCAGAGAACGTGTCCTCACAGGTTCTGACATCAAAGGTTTGGATGACCTGAAGTCAGGTCACGGGTGCTGCACGTTCCCATGGCGCTCCCAGTGCTTCCAGTTTACTTGCTCGTGTATTGATGATTGACTCTAGGGGGAGCCAGTCTCTTATCAGTTTCACACACCGGTTTGGTTCCTCGACATTTGTTGGAAGGCACCCCCTCTCCTCCTCCTCCACCTCCTCATGTCTCTCTCCCCCCTCTCTCTCTCTCACTCTCACACTCTTTCAATGAATACTAATGCAGTGAGTGGGCCCACCTCCCATCCTCCCATCTTTTTCGCAGGAATGGGCGGGAGAGGGGAGACAGAGCAATTCCAGCTCAGTATTCTTCCTCATGAGGTAGGCAGTGCTTGACTAGCAGCAACCCCAATGCCTTTTTTCCTCCCGCTGAGCAATATTGGTGATACTGTGCGTTGCCACTGCAACAATGTCTAACCTGTGTGAGTGGCGTGTGATTTCTGACCAGAGTTGAGAGAAAGAAGGACGTCTGTGCCTGCTGCTTTTTTTCTTTTTCTATTACCCCCTCCTTTTTTTTGTCATCTGGATGGGAAGTCTTTTTTGGGAGGAGAGAAAGAAGAAAGCAGAAGGCAGCCGGGGAAGGGGAACAACTGGCAACAGCCAATCCCCCCTTCCACAAACAGACTGGAGACAACGGAGGCCACTGGAGTATTTGCTTTTATCTTTCGTTTTTTGTTCTTTTTTTTCCTCATCGCGCTGCTGGGAGGTGCTTTGCCTTTCCATTTGCTCGCTCTCTCGGTCCTCTGTCTTCTTATCTATTTCGCCATTTACCTGGTCAACAATTTCTTCTGTTTATGAGCGAGACAAGGAGGGAGAGAGAGGCAGAGGGACAGAGAAAAAGAGGACGGGGATTTTTTTTTTTTGGCCCCTTTTATCCTCTTTTTTTCCCCCCTCCTCCCCTTCATTCATTCTTTCCTGCTTTCCTCTCCATTCGTATCACTTCCAGCCTTTCTATCCCTGTGCAGCCCACGCTCTCTCCTTCCTCAACCTCCCCCCTTTTTCCTCCTCCCCCCAACCCCACCACTCCAGTCACTGTCCACCCGTAACTTTGGCTACTTTTTGACTCCACCTGTTCTTTTTTTAAATTTTTTTATTTCTTCGCTTTAAACAGCTCCAGTAGAGTCATTTTAATTGGCTTGCTTGTATTTTCTATTTATGCCTTTTTCACTTTTGTACCTTTTTCCTATTTTCCCCCCTTCTCTTTTTTCCTCCCACCATCCTATGCATCTTTTTTGGCCGATTCTTAATTCTAACCATAGGTAGGTCTACTTAGTGTTTAGTGTCTGTCTCAAAGTCTTTTGTTCCCTTTTTCCTTCCGTGTGTGCGAGGTGTTTTGTGTATGGGTGCACACCTGACATGCACACACATGCACGCACGTACACACACACGCTCGCTGGCCTCCGATCTAGCTTGGGCACGGCTCCCCTCCCATCCAGCTCTCAGCTGATTCTTGCCTCATGCCATGTCCTCTCTACGTCACCCCTCCACCCTACCCACCCACCCCCACCTCACTTCCATCTGTGTTTTCAGACCTGTTTTTTTTTTTGTGTGTGCGAGTGTGTTCTTCTCAATCAGGACCACAGTGACTCATCAAGCAAGCACCTTCTCCGGTCGTCATCACGGACACGCGTCCTGATCGTCTTGTCATTTTCATGTTGTTGCACAAAAAGTCTGTTCTTCCATTAAAACATCTGAAGTGCCCCCCCCCCCCCTCCCCTTTTTAATCCACACACACGTACACAACGTCCTTCCTCACACCCTCACGTGATTATTCATTTATTAATTTTTTTAGCAGTCGTGCACATTGACAGACACCCAAACTCCACATCTGTTCATTAGAGGAAATGCCCGCTGGCAAACCAAGTTTTTGCTGGCTTCATGTGTATCAGGTGAAGGTCAAACTGAGCAAAAGGTCCGATTCAAGAGCGGCAGACGCACTGTTTGTGTCAAAGTACAATTCAAAGTCCATTCTGTCGGGGTGTCATCTGTGCTTATCTGTGCTCTGCCTCCTTTTTTTTTGCTGCCCTCTTTTCCTCTCTCTCCTCCCTCTCTCTCTCTCTCTGTCTCATATCTTTCTGAACTGACTCTCATTTCTGCAGACAGACACACACAAGCACTCAAAGAGAATGGACTAAAAAAACAAAAAGCCTGGCTTTATCATCCAGAGGACTTTTTTCCCTTTTTTTTCTCCGCCATAATTTTCACTTTTTTCCACTCACCTGGCTTCATTCACCTCTCCGTACATCCTTTTTCCCCCCCTCTCCATCACCCCCACCCTCTCTGACTCCATCCACTTATTTATTCGTACGTTGTTCTGTTGTTGCTGTTTTTTCATTTGCCGTGTAAAGAAAAATAAGATGTATATACATATATATATGTATTCATGTCCTGCCACTCACACCTCATTGCTTGCATCAGACTTGCTAGATATTTTGCATTGGGACTGTTTTGACTGTTCACATTTACTGAAATAGAAAAGGCAGATTTTCCAGAAGTGATTTCCCCCCCAAAAAATAATAACAGAAGATACAAGGCTTTATTGCACTACGCTACGAATAATTTGCGTGTGTGCCTGTGTGTGCTGTGCAAGCTACAGAGAGAGAGGCACAGAAATAGACAGATGCATAGCAAAGTAAAGAAAATCACATAACTCATTTCTTTGTCCATCTTCTTCTTCCTTTTTTTGTTTGGTATTTCCATTTTTTGTGCTGAAGGAGATTTAATCTCGCTCCTGTTCATTACACGAAGATGATGGGAAGTAGGACTTTCGAGCAACCACGATAAAGGCGTTCTGGATATAGATGTTTTCCTGTGGAATTACCCTTTAAATCCTGGATTAGATTCCAAACGACTAAAACAAAATAATTAACAATTATCCAAAAAAACCCAAAAAAACAATACAAACAAAAAAACTGGTCTAAATTCTGGACTTTTTTTTTTTACCTTTTTCTCTCTTTTTTTTAAATGGACTGAAGCTGATTTCAATATTTCTTTTTGAACTATTGAATCCTAATGGGATTTCACTATCGCGGATTAAAGACTCAAGCGACGTCTTTGTCAATTAGCTGATGTAATAGCCTTGATTCTCACAATTTCTCCATCCTTCCAAATCGCATTTAACATTTCTCAGTGTTAAGGGTTAAATAGGTGAGTACGGACCCTTGAATCCACCCATGCTCTTGCCTTTGCATGTCTTGGATGATTATGAATGGATGTAGATATTCATATATATATATATATATGTATATATATTTTTTTGTGAGTGACCCACTGTTTTGCGTGTGTGTGTGTGTGAGGGTGTGCAGACTCGTCCGGGATGTGTATGTACAGTAATAAGGGTGAGGTAGAATTTAAAAGGATACAGGCGGATTACCAGAGCTCAGTCATTTTCCTCACACTTCACCACCGTTTATCCTTTGTAGTATTTTCCCCTTTTCCAGTTAAAGTCTGGTTAAAAAAAAAAAATCTCATGTAAAATATAAATCCCCTTGATGCAGAGTGTGGGATGATGTAAAAACAACAAAAAGAAAAACTTTACATGCTGAAATAACATCCCATCTTTCACCTTGGGTTTTGCACCTCCACTCTTCTTTCTGCTCTACCAAATCTGTTCAGTGCTGCTCCACACTCTTCTTTAAAACAGCGTGCGTTAGTGTGAGAGGAATATATACGTAGATCAATAAAGTAATCTACCTGAAGAGATGGACTGCGCTGTGCTTTTCTTGGTGAATTTTTTAAAATTTTATCTTCTGTTACTCCAATAAAATGTCTTGTGGTGGGAGAATGACTAAATCTTATCTTGCGGTTGACAGTGGCCGGAATAAAATTTGACTGTATGTCTGCAGCAAAATGCACTTTCACATCGACTCTCTCCCTCACACACACACACACACACACACACACACACACACACACACACACACACACACACACACACACACACACACACACCTGGGATCTGCTCTCACAACCCAGGACGATTACCTATTCTGCTTGGTGCTGAAACACATGTGACCTCAGTAGCCGAGCTACAGATGGGCACTTAAGCTCAGGTAGTCTGTCAAAGCTGTCACAGCCACCACGCTGCAAAATGGACGTCTCTAGCGCGAGCTCTGCCTCTGACAAGTGGCTCGCTGCTGTCGTTGCTTTTGCTGTAATATACCCCGAAACAGTGTTTAGAAACAGGTAGAAGCACACTTTCAGACGCACTGGTGTTGACCCGGCAGTGTGTGGTTCAGGAAGGCAGTGATGTGAATGTTGTGTACGGTGGTCAAAAACAGCTGATTTGAGCTGTGATTTTGAGAGGGAACGCAGACGTCTACGAGCACAGCTGGATGGTGGATTGAGCAATTGCTTGGAGCACGTTTACAGCTGAGCATCCTTTCTATTTAAATATGGAGAACTGCTCTTTTTTTCTCCGGATCATTTTCTTACTTTTACGATAGACGTATGCTGTTCCTTCAAATTGTTAGATTATGGTTTAAACCTTATTTCTCTTCTGCTCTGCAGTGTATTTTATCCATCTAGATTGTTTTAGGGGGCATTGGAGGAGGAGGCTTTCTTCTGTGTAGTGATAATGCTTGATGGATGTTGACAGCGGAAAGAAAATAGGTCCTACATGAAAGTAACTGAAACCTGCTTTGTTTCCTTCGAGTAGCCAGGTCATGATTAATGTTTAGTCTTTTTAATGTAATTTTTGCAAACTAGCCTCATTATGTTCAAGAGATGGAAAAAAATCTTACACCAAAACAATGGAGATGAATAAGTAGCATTAAAGGGCAGATGAAAAAGGCATGCATTAGATTTCGAGGTGACTTGTCCCTTTTAAGGTTCTCTCCTCGTTCATTGTCACCTATTTCGCTCGTTACCTGAACAGGTGTGTCTTAATGGTTGGTGGCTCTAGGACATTTTTCATGCATCCTGTCAAATTTTTGGTGTCTGAAACTGTGCGATGCCACAGGATCTATGTGGGGAAAAAAAGTCTGCAGAACATCTTGAATCAGAGCTTAAGAGATTTCACAGGCAGCGTGTTTGCAGTCATCATTTATAAACAGGCCAGGAGAGGAGACAGCAGGGGCTAAGGAGATTCATAATCCTATCCTCTCTTCCCACTGATTCTCTCTCTCTCTCTCTCTCTCTCCCCCATGTGCTTGCTTAATGAGACAACAATGCAACTCCTGCGTCTGGCTCCGAGCGCCGCATCTGCCTCAACGAAGCCAGCAATAACAGCGTTTAGATACGTTACAATCCAGCTAACTTCCGCATGCATGCCATCTAGGGATTTACAGCATCACGGGGCACCGCTTGCATGTTACCCTGTGCTTCAGAAGTCAGAACCTAAAAATATGCAGAGATGATTTTTGATTTTTGAGTTACAAGCTAAAAAATAATAATAAAAATCTTGGATTCACACGAGTGTGATTCTGCAATACGGCACCTCACCTCATCCATCTTCTGGGTATAAATGAGGGAATCAGTCTGCGGAGCTCCATCTAAAGCTCGTAACACTCTGCGGCGCGTGCGTCTGAATCCCGAGAGCGAGCGGGAAGACTATGTGGGACGACTTAAAAAGCACATCTCAATTTTATTGGCAGTATATTCACTTCAAGGGAGCGGAATATGGGTCATGATCTGATATAAAAAGGCTACTCAATAATTCATCCTCTGATTAAGAGGACTTGTATCGACACAGACGCCGTCCAACGAGAAGGAGAGTGTGTACACAAAGTACACGGAAGAGCATTTAGGCGACTTTGTAGGATTAGTATAAGCTCAGAAACAAGCTATAGTAGAATAAAAAAAAGCCAGAGAGGTTCATGTGTACACCTTCTTTGATGTCTTAATCTCCTATACGTTCTTGCCTTCTGTGGCACGCAGGTGCGCATGCGATGAGTGTGCTTTAACGGCGAGCGTACATGGCGTCAGAGTTTGTGCGAGGCCCATCAATCTATTAAATATGAAAAGTACAATCTGTTACCCCGCAGAGACTGGTTCATTATTCATCAACATATTTCAATTAATCATTTATTTACCTAAAGTATGGTTCGCCCCCCCAACACACACACACACATATGCAATTTGGACACTCATATGGACTCCTGATGTATGAGTTATGTATAAGAGGATTAACAGAAGCTGTTTCTTATTCCTGCGATGCTGCACATACTGTAGTTTGAGGGTGTTGTTAGGGATGTAGGAGAAGACATTTTTTTGTACTGCAGTGCATTTGGAGGAAATGTGTTATTTAAAATATTAGGCTTGGCTTCCTCTCGGATCAGAGAGCAAACACGCACACGCTTTGCTCAAGATGAGCTGTGAGATGCATTCAAACAGGTTTTCATTCAAAGCTGAGAGTTATGTCCAGATGTGCACATGAGCACGGCAGCTCTTGCATTTTAAGTTCCCATCATTTAATCGGGTTTATTGATTCTAAGGGGAGCGGGTCAGAGGTCGACCAGGCGTAGCAAGGCTTTATTAGAGTCTAACTGACTGTGACCTGCTTCTAACCCGCTGTCCTCCCTTTTCCCCTCTGCAATAACAGACTGGCGGTTGTCGGGAAGACGAGCGACTCCAAACGTCTTTCCAGAGGAACAGAAGTGAAGCTGCTCCTGTGGAGTACAATTACCTCGAAATTGCTGCTTTACCCCCTTGACCCGACGAGGATTTTACCTAAAACCGCTGTGAGTTCCCGGTGCCAGCTCCTTGTCACACAGTCACCGCTGAAGGGATTAGGATGCGGAGGGGGGGCGGAGATAAATGCTCAGCATCGGCGCCTTGATTTTTAATCTTACCCTTCCATTCACGAACATCTGTATTTACTTCGGCAAACCCCACACACCTAATGAGGTGTCCTGGTAGAGAGTAAAACACATTTGTTTGATTAAGTGCAATTGGTTTAGCCAAAGACAAACCTGCTGGTAGAATGACACCTGAAAATAATGAAGGGCTACTTTATTGTCCGGTTGTGAGTTAATTAAACTCGTCTTTCTGTTAACCGGCTAATGACTTTGTCATGTGGTATCAATCCAGGTGATTAGTTATGTCAATCACAGGGAGAAATTCTTTTCCTTTAACGTGGAGCGCTGTTTATCCGTCTAGATTGTTGTCCTTTTCTGGAATTAAATGGCACTCACCTCATGTTTGCCACGCAAATAAAAACTTTATGCAGCTTTTTCAGAAATCACAAAATCCACAAACCTGGACGTGAGCGGTTTCATGTGGGGACTATATTCTTTCCAGCCAGCACACCTGCCAAACATCACTGTGCAGGAGGAAGTGCGCTTCTACCTGTGAGTAGAAGCTCCTGCTTGTGACAGCAGGACAGGATGTAAACATTAATAGTGTGTCCCCCCCCTCAGCTGAGCCGTGATGTCAGCTAGCTGCACTCCTCCGTCGGTTGGCAGATGTAGATGCGGACACTAGAATGCAAAGAAAGTTCCTACGTGAAACTGTTCACAACAAGATCTGGGGATTTCTGTTTTTCTGGACAGAGGACAGTACGCTCAGGAGAAGGCAAACATGGTATCTACAGAACAGAGCAGCTCACACCAAAACCATCTAGATGGATAAATGATATTGTAGCACTACTGTAAAAAGATGTAAACTTGATTTTGGGGTGAAAGTTGTTTTTAATGCTGTGTTTATTTGTCCACAAGAAAAGCTTTCGGTGCCCCTCAGATCTGATTCAGTTTAATGTAATTGTGTAATTTTTCCACAGGGATAACATTTGTAATCATTTCCTGTCACTTCCCGCTCTATTCCAATTTTTCGACCGCTCTGCATCATCACGGCCTATTATGAGAGGCAAAATCACGGGAAACCCTTGAGGGGGAGACTGTCATCACCCTCAGGGACAAGTTGTGATAACCCAGAATGCAGCACTGTTTATGTACAGTCAGGAAAAAGAGCTCAAAATTAGTTTTTTAACAGCAGCCACTCACATTCAATAATCATATTGTCTTTTCTCTCATGTTGACTTTAGTTCGGCCTCCCTCAGTCTGAGGCTATGAGAGGGAGAGAGGAGTCCCAGGCCGCACCATCATGCTACTTCTGAGACGCTGGGATGAGACTTTGGCTGGCAAAACACAAAGTAAGACAATATTGATGCATGGGGCCTCTTTACAGGTGGAGCTCTTCTTAGTTTTCTCGTGTTGTCCCCGTAGAGAACCGCTGAAACAAACCATCTTATCTCGGCTGTGTGTGCCTCTCCTAACGCTCAATGATGGATGTTCTTAAACTTCTGTAGTGTGTGTTTTTTTATTGCTTCGTATCTTATGCCAGGTTTGCTTGCGGGTCAGGATAATGGTTCAAGGTGGAGCTTGCAGATGAATGGTTTAATCCTTGGTTTTTAGCACAGTGTGCACTTTGATCAATGGCACGCATCAGCACGTGGTCGTTCAACCCGACCCCGCCCACCTCGATCGACTATCGGCCTCGTTTACACTCCACAGGCATTGATCAGGCAATTAAAGGTTTTGTTAAATTCATTTTTTTGGTTTTTGTCGTTTGTGTGTGTGTCAGCTGTTCTCATGTTTTCACGCGCTGCATGTTTGTGGACGACAGAGAGAAAGATGAAAGAAGACGTCGTTCCCACTCTCACCCAGGACCAGATTACACAGAGCAAATGTTTTTACCACCAGGGGCAATGAGAGGTCATCATCATATCAGTAGATTTCAACATTTTCTCATCCATTACTCCTCAGTAACTTTTTTCTTCTCTATTTCTTTTTCGTCTCTCTCATCTCATGCACTGTTAATCAGCGGTGACGTTAGGAGACTGAGCCTTGGTGCAAATTTAGTCTCCTCTTTTTGTGGTGGGATGGAGTGTGTGGACTGTGTGAGCACACTACAAACAGCACCATTACACAGGCACTCCTCTACACCTTTAACCTGCTGCCTTTTAGCCAGCAGCAGAGCAACGGCGTGGCTTTGTAACGAAGAGCTTTAGCTTTAGCCTCGGCCCTTCAAGCATCAAGTCGCTTATCTGCTTCGGCTAATGCCACACAGATATATTAACAGCGATGATGCATCTAATTAACAACAACGCCCCGCTGTTTCTGATTTAAAAAAAAAATAGCATTCACACGTACACTGGCAGATTATTAGTCTGCTGGGCTTATTATTCGAGCGTGCTTCCTGCTCTTACATAAACTGTTTAGAAAAAAAGGCTCTGGCTGGAATAATGGCCTAAATGAGGACATATTAGAATAATAATGTCTCATGAGTTTTTTAAAAGCTTTATCTCCAACCTTTGTGTACTTAACCTAAATGGGATTCTGGCCCCTCGTTATATCGGCGCCGTTCAGCGCCGCTAATTAAGTGCTGCATAGCTTTTCAATCATTTTTTCAGTCAAATCCATTTAACAAGAGACTTTTTATTTAGACTCAAAGAGCCCACGTCACCAGTCTTAAATGAAAGCCGCAGTCTTTGACGTGTTAAATGCAATTTGAACATTTTTAGGGTCAGCCTTCTTCTCTCTCTGCTAATGTACGGAGTGCAGTAAAAGGTAGATTTCGGCATTGAGGTGTAACAGTAAGATAAACGTTGTCTTTCTCCTGTAATCCTGGTATTACAGTCTTTTGCTGAACAGGCCATTATTGCGATCACCTTATTTTTACTGATATAATTTTTTTTCAACCTCTCTCTGTGTCTTTTCTAAATTGGAAGAAATTCAAGAGTCAGGAAGCTTCTGATAAAGAGAAGCTCTCATAATAAGAGACAATAGGAGGAAGAGAAGAGGGGAAGTGTTTTGGTAGTTGTTTCTGGGGATGTGGAGTAGAAGGTAGAAAAGAGCGCAGCTTTTTTTATTTTTTTGCGCCTGTGCCGCTGTCTATTTTGTTTTTTCACCTCGTGTGAAATTACACAGCAGTGCGTGTGGGCATCTCATTGCATCAACAGCTCGCACTGGCACGTTTCTCTTTGTAATGAATGCCGGTCACATTGTTAGTTTAAAGCGTCACTGATGCTCAGTCCGCTTGCAGTCGAGTAAACTTGGAAGCTACAGAAACTCAGTCATGCAGGATAAATGTCTCAGGTGTTTAGCTGTCTCAGAGTAATGCGATGCTACATATATTAGCATTAATTAAAATTTGACCGCAAGATCACATACATGCTTGACCTTAAAACACGGCAAAGATCCATGCGGTGGAATCGATTGCTTTGAGAACCAGCAGATCAATGCGGCTTCACTCATCCTTGTCTCCAGCGGTGGAGCGGTAGCATAAGTCACCTGGAAAACGGCCTGCGGATCCAGTCATTAGCTGCTGCACATCCAACATTTGCTTTGGTGGCATCTGTTATTTTCTGGCACGTCCTCAGATGCTGCTGTGGGGAGGCTTCAGGTGCTGTCAGTGTTTGTGCTCCAATTTTTTGGACTGAACAAGTGCTGAAACTGTTAGTCGATGTTCAAGATTTGAATCTGTGACAAATGATTAATTGTTTACATGGTTTTCAGTGTCAACATATAGCACAGCTGCTTTTTCTGTTTTAAATGCCTGCAAATTAAGTAATTCAGGCTGCTAAGTGTAAAAAAGCTAACAATCTGATGATGTCGTCCTGTGATTTGTGTGGGCATGGGCAGATTCCTGATTTTTATAGACTAAAATAAAAGTCTATCCTACTTGAAATGGCTCAGGTGATTTGGCTATGACTCCCAGCTAATTCAGGCCAAATCAGTAGGATTGACATTGTTTTCATGCTCCTTCATTTATTTTCTTTAATGTCATCCAGTGTGTTAATTCATTATTTTGTACTTGTTAGAGTTTGTTTCCTTTAAAGAAAGCAGGGAACATAAAAGACTGTACATAGAAGATGAATGGAAATGTGACCAGAACCTTACAATAGCTTTTGATACCAAAATTCTGAAAATGTGACAATGTTTTGTTTTTTTTGTTTTTTTTTTAATTGTAGTTTTGTAAGTAGCATCTTGCTTACCTGAAATATAAATTAGCTTTTTTTTAGCTAGCTAAAATTGCTTTGGCTAAAATGTTTGCAATGGTTAGCACTTTATACATGCTTAAGCTAATTTAAATTAAGGCTACTTGGAAATATCCTAACATTTCAGTCTGTGTCCTGTTAACAGAATAAAATGTTGACATTTCAAAGAATGGTCTTCCATTACCATGTTAGTGATTTAAAATGACTTTTCTGGTTTCTTTGGCAAAGCAAACCTGTTTAGCACAACAGTACAAGCCAAAAGCTACATGCTAAAGAAGCAGAAAATACTTTTTAGCACAAAAGTTTATGCCTAAGCACATAGGATACAAATTGTGTAATTCTCCTGGTGTTAATACTGACTAGGCTACTAAATTTCTGGTCCATTCGTTTGTTGACTACCGTTTTAAAGGTCCAAGTAATGCTAATGCTAGCTAGCTAGTATGGTTAGCAAGGTCATTCCTACATAATTTGGCTAGTAAAAAAAAAAGAGGCTTAAAACAAAAGTGACACCTTAGTGTGTTTTAAGTATAAATAGTGAACAAGACAGTGAGGGCCACATTTACTAAATGCTGAAAAATAGTGTGTCAGCACAATCCCCAAATAGCGCTCATAGGTGTGGTTAGTGTTATGAGTGGTTTACAAAAGTGTGTTGTTTTGTAAACACAGGTGCAGGCAGATCATTTTGATATCAAACAATTCACTGTCTTTTTCCCTAAATTTTACAATTGTCTGTGAATATTTGTATTAATATTAATATTATGCTGTAATCCTGTCTTTCCTGCTGCCCACATGTGCAAATGTGTCCACGTTTCCTCAAGTTTTAACTGTAAGCTTGAACAGGTATGTGACCAGCGCTCTATAAGAGCAGCTGTGCGCTCCGTTTTCAGCTGACTTGTTGTTTCACCTAGAGGTTGTGTTGTAGGAGCGTGTGACTTATTTGTTTCGGCGTGTGAATGCCACAGGTCAGCATCTTTATGCAGCCACGATAGACAGGAAGCGCTTGTGCTCGTGCTTTGAGGAGTGACATGTGGGTGTTGCAGCTGAAAGATGAAACGCACAATCATTTGTATGCTGCAGATTGACAGACCAGTGAGACAGGGAAATTCATATATTTCCGGGGTTTAAAATGAAAGGGGAAAAAAACCTGTTTCCTCTTAGAACATGTAATGACTGAATCTGGGTTTTACATGACATTATCCAACTTGGTGTCATCCCTGATTTAAAGGCAGCCACTAGGATCCTGCTTTAATTTGGAATAATAACACCTATGTCCTAGTGTGTGATTAATCCGATACTAAGAGATCTGATTAATGTGCTGTTGTGCAGGAGCTGCAACTAAGTAACGCTATTTAAACTTCTTTTTCTTTCTCCCAGCTCCACTAAGCACTGTTTTTATTTCCCATTATCAAAGCTGTGCCAGACAATAAATCAGTGTATACCAGAAAAGAGATTACTTCCCCCAATGCAAGAGAAAGTAGTGCCCCCCTGCCATGAGACTGGATGCAGGTGCATCATCATCATCGTCTAAGCTGTGCACAAACACATACACACACACACACACACACATACACACAAAAACCTCTAAAAGCCTGTTTGTGATGTTGCAAAGATGAAATGGTCAAGCACGGGCAGTGACCCTCAACCATACCTGAATGCACTCGCTTCTGCAAGTTGAACCCGAATGCACGGCGCTGTCTCGCAGCCCCGCTGCTGTTGAAATGTCATCGGTAATGCTCACCGCGCTTCAGTGGGCTCACTAAAGCAAAGCAAACTCCACAGCATTTTCTACTCTGCCTCTCGCCTCCGAGGCTCTCAGCCTCAGCCACAAAGCCACCTGCAGCTTTTTTCGCCCTGACTGTGTTTGCCAGAAGGTAATATTAAAAGTTATTGATTGGGTTGTGTTTAAAGAAAAATACCCAGTAGGAGTTTAGCAGAAAAAGACCCGATAGGGAGCTAATGCCTCCCTCAGGGACATCATCCACATACTGTCAAAACCCATGATGTGTGGCAACCAGGATGCAGAGCAAGGGAGGGGGAAGTGTGGAGAGGGGCAATCTGTGTCATATAGAACAACCAGATGCTGTAGTGCTTCCAACCAGGCGCACAGACAAAAGGAAGCATGTGAGAGAGGCGATTGTGATGTGCGCTATTTT